AAAATATACATATGCAACATTAGACAAATAGGATGAAACCAAATAAGTAGCATGCAGTTTATGTAAATAATTTGAATTGTTTATATGTAATAAACTAATAACCAAGCACTTCAAGTATATAACCATTCAACCATTAACATGCAAAAATTCTAAAGATTAAATCATGTAATCTAGTCTAGAAAATAATAAGCATGTAACAAATTAAAACCTAGTATAGAATAGAATAGAATTAGCATGTCAAAATTGCAACATCAATAAATTATATTTTATAACTTTAAAATTCATGCAAATCATAGAAGGGGAATGGTGAACCATACTCATAAAATAAGATCAGAATAATACAATTAAGTATACAAATTATGATAGAGCATTCTAATTAAACTAAACAATTAGAGAATCACATTGCATAATTTACAATCATTGAAATAGGGAGCAATTCCGCAACAGTTCCTAGTAACATTATACAAATGTCTATATTAATCTATTCAATCAATTTCATAGGAAAACATATATGAAAAATCTGTTTTAAGCTTGTTGTTCAAATTTTGAAATTAAATAAATAGATTTATGAAGAAATCAAATTATATATATACTAAGAACACATGCTAATAATTACAACTAAATTTCAACAGAAATACACAAAACAATAAAAGGGTAAAGAGACGAAACCGAAGCCTGCACGGAAGCAGTTTCCTTAAAACAGATTTCGCCGCCTCACTGGTCGAGTGCTTGAGGAATCCCGGCGTCTGTCTCCCAGGATACGACGGTCAAAACCAGTTACGGCAGAAGCACTCTTTGTCTAGCTTAGCGAACAAAACAGTGGCAACACTCTCTCACTGTAGGAACTTTCAGGCAAATTGACTTGTGAAATGGAAGTAAAAATTTCTATGTTTGAGACTTGACAGGAGGGTCTCAATTTATACATGTATAGGGGAGAGAGGAAGAGCCTCCAGCCTTTATGGCTGTTCATAATGCACCATTAACCTCTACAATAAAGGCAGGAGTTACAAACCCCATTAATGTAGGAGTTACAAACCCCATTAATGCAGGAGTTACAAACTTCATTACCTTTTTTCCATGAAGCTAACTTCATGAGGTAATTTCTCATTCAAATCTCAATGGTTTTTGGCCATTCTATCTGTGGTGTAAAGATCTCAATGCAAAGTATCTAGACCCACTTGGACCCAACACAATAGATGGTTGAGACCTACTTTAATCTTTAATTAAAGTCACCAAAAAAAAAAACCATTTTTTCCAACATCTACTTCTGCCATATGTCCCTTATTTTCTAATTAAAAAAAATAAAATAAAATTGACAAAAACAAGACTCAAACTATGAATCTTGAATTTGTCAAATAAGACTCTAACCACTTTGCCTAGAACACAACATTTTGTAAATATTTTATTTTATATTTAGTTATTCAGTAGTAATTGGTATTGCTAATTTGGTACTACTAAACCACCACTAATAAGGTGGAAAATGAAAAGAAAAAAAAAAAGCACAGCACACATTGTGGCAGTGGGTAGGACCCAGTGCCACATCATTAGTGGTAGCACTAATTAGGGGTCTCAAGTATTATTGTTAGTTATTTGAAAGGCATACACATTGTGTATGTATATATATATACACTATTATATACAGTAATGATTCAGACCCCCACAAAATATCACCCCCACAACTCTCACTCATTTGTGATTGGTCCAAGTAAGAAAGAGAAAGGAAAAAATAAAAAATAAAAAAATACATCATTGGTCCACATCACTATGGGGGTGGTGGGGGTCTCCCCAAAAGGGGTCCCAAACATTTTCCCTATTATATATATGAACACTAGACTTAATTAGGGAAAATGTTATAAGTCCCAAATTTTCTACCAAATAAATAATTAAATATCTCACATGGGTTTGGAGTCCACACTTTTGTGGAACCCACACCCATGTGAGACATTTGGTCATTCATTTGATAAATTTTTGGGATACTTACGTGTAGATCCTGATAAGTAGATTTATTGTCTAATAGGTCCTATAGGAAAAATTTGTTATAAAAAAATGTCACAAATTGTAAGTTTTAGCAACAATTTATAAAAATCATAACAAAAAAAGTCATTAATTGTCAATTTTTAGCGACATATATAAAAAATTGTCACAAAATTATTTTTAGTGACAATTTTACCAAGACTTATTTTCAATAGGACTTGATAAAAATTAACTCCAACTATTAGGACCTATTGGTAGTTTACCTTAAAATTTTTTGTATCCCTAGTATTACCCATTAGTGAGTGTCCAAACATTCCTCATACCATGTGGCAAAGTTTTATACGCTAAAATAAAAAATTATTATAATTCAACACAAACAAGGTTTAAACTAAAAATCTTAAATTTTATTAAGAATACACTTACTATTTAAGCAACTAATATATTATGATATTAATTTTTATTATTATTTATTTATTTTCTTACTTATCTAAATTACACACGCATCGCATGTGCCACCCGTTAGTGTAAATATATGTTCGGGCTGAACATAATAGTTTTACTAGTACATATATATATATATATATCAAATTAAATTATAAAAGTACCTTAATCTAGTTTTTAATTTTTAACCCAATTTATTATTTAATAATATTTTAAATTAAACATGTACATATATATATATATATTTATTTATTTATTTAACAAATTAATTAGATATTATGATATACATGTATATATATATAAGGTATATACACATGTATATCATAATATCTAATTAAAATTAAAATAAATATAAGGTATATACACGTGTATATCATAATATCTAATTAAAATTAAAAATTAAGTTTGTTAAAAAAAAATTGGAAAACTCTACTTAAATGATTTTTGTGTCATATTTTTAATTTTTTTCTCAATCATGGAGATAAATTTATTTATTTATTTACAAAGGGAAGCAGAAGTAGAAGTAGAAGAAGATATAGAAGAGTATAATTGTCTTTTATTGTTAACATTAATGGAGTTAAGGTTGCATTTTAGTCTAATTTCACATAAGGGGTATCGCTATCTTTAAAAGATATAGGATAAAATACTATCAAGCCATATCACAAGAAGGTAAAATAAAATTTATCCTACATTAATTGTATATGTTCTCCCATATTTGACCTAGTAACCTTTCTATTGGTTCTGCAATACCTTGAGTTGAACCCACCTTATACTCATTCCCCATTTTTTTGTTCCAAGTTTAAGCTCTACCAATTTCCCTTTCTTTCAATGATTCATAATTTCAAAAATTATTTTTGTGACATATATATATATATATATATATCATTGACATTATGCATAGAGTCTTCACAATGATTTTTTTTTTGGGGGGAGGGCCCTGTATGATGATTTTATTTATGATTCTGTTTCTTTCTATCTTGTTATATTATATATTTCCATGGTATGGTGATTTGGTTTATACTTTCAGGTGGTCCTGAGTGGTCCAAGTGAACATAAGAGGAAAATAAGATAAGATGATTATACAATTGGGAAAAATAATCGGTTTGGTTGTGTTTTGAAAACATAATTCTTTGGTGGGAGTTTTACAGAGAACTCTGTTTTAGGCGCATTTTTCGAAATTTTTTTTTTGCAAATTTTGTCTAACCAGTCGTCCGGCCGGTTGACCGGAATAGTGAATTTTTTTTTTTTTTTTGGCAATTGATATGTTAATTTTTTTATAATCGAAAAAAATATTTTCTGAATTTTTTAAAATTTTTTATGTACTTTAAAATAATTTTGAGTTGTATGTTTGGTTATGAGTTGTAAATTTTTGTATTAAATATCAAATGTCACATCAATAATTTTCTACTCAAATCAAAACTCTTTTCAAAATTATTTTCAAAACTCTTTACCAAACAAATTTTCCACACTCAAATCATAATTCCAAACCTCACAAACTCAAAATACAACTTATACTCTCAAATCATAATTACAAAACTCTACCAAACACAACCAATAATGGTACACTTATTAATTTCTTATATCATATCATATTTTCGTTATGAGAAATGTTATGTATCCCAAATATTATACTAAATATTCCACCAAATCTCTCACATGGGGTGAAACTCACACAAATCTATATGTGTATGGGTCTCACACCCATATAAAAAGTTTGATAGAATATTTAGGGTCCCTAACATAACTCTTTGATTATTACATGATGTGGCATATTCATAATTATTGACATAGTGGATTTTATGTGAATCTCATAATATTCAACAGTCACTGATGTGTCGTGTCAAATGATAAACAAAAATATATATACAAAAAATAAATAAATAAAATTAGATGGTATGATTTGTCTGAGTTGTGTGCCTATTACTTTAAAATAAAAAATAAATAAATAAAATACTCATCAAGATAGTTTTAAATTACAAAACCAAAAAATTACAAAAATTTCATAGTAATATTATTTTGGAAGAAATGTTTTGTATAAAATTTTGAAAGTATAATTTTTTTCCTCTTTGAGATAGCCTTGCAAAAAAACACCTTTAAAGTTAGGAAAGATGCTATCCAAAAAATATATATATATACATATTTATTTATTTATTTATCATAGAACACAAAGCAATGTATATGATGGATCAGCACGCTGTTGGCTGGTTTTATTGTTGTCTTTTTGATTGATTGCTCACTAACTTAGTGATCTTACTTTTCGGTATCGATTTAATTGAGATGAATTTGTTCAGCGGTGATACGTTTTGTACTATTTTTTTTTTTATTGATGTAATTATTTTGTATTTTTTCTTTTTGTTAGTTTTCATTAATAATTTTTTTTAATTGATAAAAAAATTATTTAATATAAGGTCACTAACTTTATAAAAAAAATCTAACACTAAAGAAATAGTTTATACATAGTGTTACTCTAAAAGTTGGGGACAAAAGGGTAAAATACCGAGAGACATTATTTGATGATACTTGATTAAGACCCACCAGTGTATATAAAAAGCTAGGGACCTCAAGCCTAGGGATCAACAGCCCATCTTAGTCGTTAATACACTTTAATTAATTCCTTAATCACTTGCTCCTCTTTCATTTCTTACTTCTCTAATTAAGTACCCAATTAAGTCCTGAAACACTCTTTTATTATAAACTCACAGCACTTAGCTTTTAGCTATGGCCATGGTGGTCGACGACACCATCATCCCCGAACTAGACTTTTCTAGTTACACCACCACCACTACGAGCGAAGATGACTATGTGTGCACTTGGAACGATTGGTCTCCAGTGGTGGACTGGGAAGAACTTTCCGGAGGCCATGACAATTTCCATGACCTCATCGAATCCATGATGGATGATAACGCCGAGTTGCAAGGATTATCTTGCAACTCGGTGTCGTCCACTGATATGATGGTGATAGAAGAGCACATGGAAATGAACAGCAGTAGCAGTGGCAGTGATGGTGGGATCGATGACTTCAAAGGGCTAAGGTTGGTCCACCTCTTGATGGCCGCGGCGGAGGCGCTGACCGGAGTCAACAAGAGCCGGGAACTGGCTCGGGTGATATTGGTTCGGCTCAAGGAGTTGGTGTCCCCAACCGACGGCTCCAACATGGAAAGGTTGGCGGCGCATTTTACCGACGCCTTGCAAGGTTTGCTAGATGGCGCCTGTGGGTTGCATAATAAGCACACGTTAACAAATGGACCCCACCATCATCATCGTGATGATCACCATCCAACGGACGTCCTTGCTGCGTTCCAGCTGTTGCAGGACATGTCACCCTATGTTAAGTTCGGACACTTCACGGCTAATCAAGCCATTTTAGAAGCTGTGGCTCATGATAGGAGGGTCCATATTGTGGACCATGATATCATGGAGGGGATCCAATGGGCTTCCTTGATGCAAGCTTTGGTGTCTAGAAAGGATGGCCCACCTGCCCCACACCTTCGGATCACAGCCATATCACGAGGTGGGAGCTGCCGCCGGTCGATCGGGACAGTCCAAGAGACCGGTCGGCGATTGGTTGCTTTTGCAGCGTCGATCGGTCAACCGTTTTCTTTCCATCAATGTAGATTGGATTCAGACGAGACATTTCGACCGTCCGTTTTGAAATTGGTAAAAGGTGAGGCTTTGGTGTTCAATTGTATGCTACACTTACCTCACTTTAATTATCGGACACCCGAGTCGGTTACTTCATTTCTATCCGGGGCGAAGACGCTAAACCCGAGATTAGTAACACTAGTGGAGGACGAAGTAGGACCCAGGAGCGAAGGAGGGTTCATGGGCCGGTTCATGGACTCCCTGCACCATTACTCAGCAATGTATGATTCGCTCGAGGCTGGGTTTCCAATGCAGGGCCGGGCTCGAGCTTTGGTGGAGAGGGTGTTCTTTGGGCCCCGAATAGCCGGGTCGTTGGCCCGCATCTACCGTGCGCGTGGGGTGGAGGAAAGCTGCTCTTGGGGGGAGTGGTTGTCTGCGGTGGGATTCCATCCTATTAAAATAAGCTTCGCCAATCATTGCCAAGCAAAGTTGTTGTTGGGACTGTTCAATGATGGGTATATGGGGGAGGAATTAGCTAACAATAGGCTTGTTTTGGGCTGGAAATCTCGGCGTCTTCTCTCGGTTTCTGTTTGGACCTCCTCAGATTTTGATTTGTAAATTAGTCCTCTTTTGTTTCCACTATTTGTTCTTCTACCCCTGTTTTTTCATTTGTCTCACACTAGAACCCCCATGAGTTTTTTTATTTTTATTTTATAGTATTTGTTTTTAAAGCACATTCTAGGCAGTCCAATGTTGTAAACCAAGAGCAACAATTTTAAGTTGGTTTTTAGAGCTAGATGTACAGGTCCTAAAATTTTTGATCTTCTTAAATGTTGCCTCTATTATGTAATTTGCATGGATTTCGAAGTTGTGTTTTCTTTTCTTTTTCCTAAATATATATAAATATTTTTTTCCCTGCTAGGGATTTGATATATGTGCTATATGTGTCATATGTGATGTTTTCATTTTGTCTTTCTTTCAACTCTTTAAACCCTCTTCTTTGAAATTTTCAATTACAATGCTTGTATATCCCGAAATTCGACTAATATTTCATAGAAAGAAAAATAAAAGAATTGTTAAACAAAAATCTTATCAACAATTTTTATTTTATTTATTTTTTTATGACTGGATGTTCGGGTTAATTTATACGCACCTTGACTAATTTCAAAACAATTCTATTTACATCCAAAAAATGATTAAGTGAGCTCAATTTTTTAGTATATCCTATTAAATTAATTTAGGATAATAATTTATTCTTAATACAATCTATTTTTTCTCCCAAATTACCTTTTTGAGATACACCCAAATAAAATAAATTAAAAAATTCAAATTACTTTTGAAAACCCTTTGTTGAGAACCTAGTTGCACGCTCCTTTTGGTAAAGGTTCAGAAGTTTTTGTGTTCGTGCCAATCCCAGGAATGGGCAATCCAACGTCCCAATATCATCACCAGTTGCTTACTCCTCCTGGTAAAGGTTCAAAAAATAAAGCGGTTTTGATTTGCATCACAGAGTGAATCAAGTACTCTCTGCTTATTCACCCAAAAAAGTACTCTCTGCAAACTTGATTAAAAAAAATATTATGGATTTTTCATTAAATATTATTTGGATTTCATAGTTGATTTGTTGAGACTTTGATTGGTTGAAATAAAAAATGCCCCTCTTTTTATTTATTTTGACTAGGTATGATTTTATCATGCGATTGTTGTTTAGGTTTCGAAAGTTATTTGGGATGGCATAAATAAGTATTTTTTTTGTCTTTTTTGAAAAGATGTACAGAAAAATAGAGAGGCGATGTGATAAAAAAAGATAAAAAAATAAAAAGATGATTATTTTGTGTATGCCAAACTTGGCCTAATTGAGATATACAAATCATCAAATTAATAATCTCACAATAACAATCATGTTGGTAATAAGGATGAGTTTTGATGTAGTGAATTAGAGTTTTGAAGTGAGAAATAAGATGAAGAGAGAAAATAATTAAATCTGAGGAAAAATATAAAGAGAGTTGAATATGAAGAATACATACAAATGGTTTAGATATATCATGAGAAAAAAATAATATTTTATTTTAGAATTTAGTGTTGGGTAAATTATACAAATGGTCCCTATAATTTATATGATGTGTCAATTTAGTCTATATTGTTTTAATTTGCCCCTTAATTTAACGAATTGTGTTATATTGGTCAAATAAATAACAGTCATTAGGTTTGGTGGACGAAAGCTCAAACGATGTGTCAATTTGATCTCTGTAGTTTACATGATGTGTCAATTTGGTTCCTGTTAAAATCAAGCAAATTAAAACAACAAAGACTAAATTGACACATCGTTTAAGTTTTTCGTTCACCAAATCTAAAGGCCGTTATTTATTAGACCAATATGACACAATTCATTAAATTAAAGGGCAAAATCGAGCAAATTAAAACAATAAAGACCAAATTGACATTTCGTATAAATTACATGGACCATTTAGATAATTTATCCTTTAATGTTTATTATCCTTATTAGTAAATTTATATTAAGATATAATAGGAACTAAAATTTTAAAATTTTAATTGGGCATACTAAGGCCTCGTTTGGGAACAGACTAATTTAGTAACTTTTTGACTAATTGGCTTAAAAGGTAGGTAAAAAAAACTTGTATGTTTGGGATGACTTTTGGACTAATTACGAAAAGCTGTGCAAAAAGTAGAGAGAAGCCGTAATTGTTGACTTTTTGGTATAACTAATTGGCTAATTGACTAATTTATAATAACTTTTTGACTAATTGGCTAAAAAAATAGCATCCCAAGCGAGGCCTAAATTATTATTTAGGTGCAAATAAAATCACACCTAATCATGGGACTCATGCAAAACACCTACTCTACATAGTAAATTTATATTAAAATATAATATAAACTAAAATTTTAAAATTTTAACTGAATGTATTATATTATTATTTAAGTGCAAATAAAATCACACCTATTCATATGACGCATGCAAAACAGCTACGCTACATAGATTGGACAAATCTCATAAAAAGCCCATACTGGCCTCAACAATGACATGGCACCAACGTATTTGAAATTGAATAATGTTTGAGCGCCACCATTTTTGTGGCTTAAATGGTTTAAAATTGTCAAAATGACGTGGTTTTGGCATGTTTTGTGCTCAAAACGACGTCGTTTTGACAGTTTTGAGCCATTTGAGCCACAAAAATTGTGGCCCTCTACCATTGTCCGTTGGGTTGGGTTTGTGGGAGTCTATCACGGGTTCTATTTTGATAATTTAAACCGTTAATACGTAGAACTCGTCAAGTACTATATATTTGTAAAAAATCACGTTGATCGGATATCGATAACTATATGATCAAATCAGTTTCGTATTAAAAAAATTAGACGGTGAATAAATTAACGGTTGACAAAAAACTGTTTTGATCACATAGCTATCGATAATTAACGTGATTTTTTATAGGCATATACTCGATAATTTTTACACATTGAACGGTTCAGATTATCAAAACGGGACCCGTAATGAGCCCTTACAGTCCCAACAGCACGGTCCAGTCCGCTAAACAAAAGCCATACCCTAAATTATTTTATTAGAAATGTGAGAATCACATTAAATCACATCATCTTGAGTTATGGGTGTTTAGGATCTCATAAAAAAGTCACATTTTTTTTTTATTTATGTTTTTATTTTTATTAATTTTTTGTTATAAATTATATTAAAAAATTTAATATTTGTTATATAGACGAATCTAAAAGATTAAAAAAAAAAAGCAAAAATAAGCACAAAAAAAAAAAAAATTTTTGCCCCAAAAAAGATAAAACCATATGAAAATTATGATTTTTTCTTTTTCTTTTTTTTTCTTTTTCTTTTGACCAAAAAACTCAAAAAAAAAAAAAAAACTTTTCCAATCAGTCTTATCTTTTTTAGACTTTTTTTGAAATCTTTTAAGTGTGGGTTCCTTTTGTCTAGCTGAATTTAGAAACTTAATTTTTTTTATTTAAATTTTAATAAAATTGTTTACCGAAGACCAAAAATAAAAAATAAAAAAACTATAAGCAAACCCTAAACACCGCGTTTCTTTTTGCCGAATTAATTAATAAGGTACGTACTACAATTTATTAACAGAAGTACCTTTTTTTTGTTAATAGATTAGGTTCAAACACCTTTGCTATCTTATACATACGGCATATTTTATTTAGAAAAATGTGTCGTAATTCAAATTTTGTGGCTCAAAAGTGGCTCAAATGGCCAAAACGACGTCGTTTTGGCCATTTTTATGATGTTCTGTTTTTATGGCTTTCATAAAAACATTTTTATTTCCCCCCCCCTCCTTTTTTTTTTGAGTTGATATCTTTATGCCTCCGTTTGGGAAGTGGGTTGACTTTTTGACTTTTTGATTTTTTTGGCTATTTTAGCCTGGGCTAAAAAACTTGATTTGGGAAGGGCTTTTTGGTTTTTTGGCTTTTTTGACTTTTTTTGTGAGAAAAGAGTGTAATGATTATGGGTTGGATATGATGTTTTGTTTTTTGTAACTAAAATAGCCTATTTTGTCTTTTGTAACTAAAATAGCCAAAACAGCCCACTTTAGTTCTTCCCAAACGGACCCATATTATGTTGGATTTTAGATTTAGGCACTATTTGGGGTACACTATTTGTATATTTTTTTTTATATTATTTTTATCTTTTTTGAGTCATATCAACTCTCTATTTTTTTTATATATTTTCATAAAAAATTAAAAAGTATAGTTATTTAGATCATTTCAAATAACCTCTTATTAAGATAGAGAGAAAAGAATAATTTGTCTTTTTACACTAATTTATATTCTTCTTGTTCAATTCTTTTCTCTTCTTTTCTTTTTCTCTGTACAAAACTCTGCACACAATTATAATCCAAACGGCTGCGGGTTTTCTAAGTCCTTTAATAGCACAATGATACATAAAAATTAAAAAGTAAAAAGTAAATCATTGACTAAAAATGTTGATCTTCTCTTAAACCGCAATAAGTTACCATTGGTAAAGGATTGAAGAAAGTTTGTTTGGTTTGAGTTTGGGGGATGAGTTTTAGAGATAAAAAGTACGAAAAGTTGTTTGGTTTAGTTTTTTTCAAAAGAAGTTTTGAAAAATTATTTTGAGAGAGAGTTTTGGAAAAAGTAATTGATTTGATGTGTATGAGAGAGAGATTTATTTGGAAAACTTGTAAACCAAACAAGTTTTGGGAAGTTTTTTTGAAAAAATTTGTTTGGTTTGATTACTTTTGAAAACTTATTTGTAGAGAATTTTTCTCAAAAATTTTTGAGAAACACAAACCAAACAAGGCCGTTGTTTTTCAAAACAAGACTAGTTACGATTATGTTTGAAAAGTAGAAAGAAAGAAAGAAAAAGATACGAAGCTAGTAATAATCCATAAGGTTGTGAATAAGCATGAGAACCATCCACTTGCTCCTAAGGTTTTAGGAAGTGCCACTTCTTAATTTTTGGTCTCAAAGTTTTAGAAAGTGTCAAATAAGTTAGCTAAACCGTAACTTGCTCTTAGGATATGTAAAATAAGATAAACGAAAATTTATTTTTGGAAAATTTACCCATAAGTCCTAGTTTCTGAAAAGTTGAACCATTTAGTCCTAAAAGTTTTCTTATGCTCCATTTAGTCCCATTTGCACATCAATCTAATGTTTGAAACATTAATCTGATGTTCGAAATCTAATGTTCGAAACATTAATCTGATGTTTGAAACATTGTAATGGGGACCTTTCAGTCTATAAGAAAACTTTTAGGACTAAACAATGTATAAGTTATTAATTTGGGATTTATTGGTGCATCCCCTTTTATTTTTATTTTTGAAGGGATTTTTTATGATTTAAACCCTTACATTTAGGAAGACTAACTAATGTTATAATGAACTTGAAAAACAAACATCCTCTTCCCCTATTGGC